AGTTCCTGGTCTGTGTCTGTGTGTGTTTCTGTAGCTGCATGCAGCCATGAGTGATGTGCATGAGATCTTTTTCGTGTGGCCTGTGAGAGACAGAATTGCTTTACTGCAACAGGACCGAAAGCTGCACAGTAAGAGGAGGGTGAAAAAAAAGGTATGCGCACACACACACACACACACACACACACACACACACACACACACACACAGGTACAACAGTACAGAGAAAAAAGATGATATACTAAGCACACACAGATAATATGTAAAAAAAAAAAAAAAACCTGACACATACAAAACCAAGGACACACTTGCATGTTTATGCCACAGGAAAAAGATAAGCGTGATCAGAACCCACCCTGCCAGTCCTCTGTTACCCAGAATTCCTTGGGTCCCACGAGACAGAGGTGAACACACACACACCTCAAGATATACCCACAAGATACACAACACCATTAAATAACCTATACTACTGTGTCTTTTTTAAAGCAGAGCTAATAAATTGAGGTAGAAAAATACATTACTTTGTAAACACTACATGCATGTTTTCTCTCCCGGTAGGGTTCCGCAGCCGACTCAGAGCCAGAATGCACCAATCTTTTCTCAGAAACTCAAACCAGAGTGAGTGTACTCATTAACTAGTTAATCTTGAGTTTTAAGATTTATAGAGTTCTCTGAGAAACTGAGAAACAATCAACAGCTACAGTACACTACAAGAGCCAGATGATGGACTGTATTTTGCTGAACAGATAGAGTGTGAAGCAATGGACACTTTGTGCTAACTGGTCCCACTTTGCACCACAGCATGAAAGAACACAGTTAGCAAGCTAACATCACACAGTACTGTTTACATACACTGCCACTGCATGTGAAGTGCTAAAGTGTTTAGTGTTTTAATGTAACAAACCTCTCATGTAAAATACAATTAAAGTCAACAGGAGATGGAAATCAACACATTTTGCTTCTGTAATGTGGCATATTTCTGATGATCATTTGCATATCAAAGTGTGATACATGAAGAAGGAAGATTTTCTGAAGAAAAAAATCTAGGAGTTTTATAAGAATAGAAAATAATTATAAGATTCTAACTTTGGACATGACTTAAACTAGCTATTTACAAAATACTATAATTACTATCAAGAACACAGAAAAAAAGAAGCAGTGGTACTGTGTGGTCAGGAAATATTCATGAAGGAAATGGAATAGCTCAAATTTATTACTTGTAAATATTGCCAAGACGAGAGTTTAAAGTGAAGAACAAAGACGTGCGTGGGTGGGACAAACAATGGTGTTCAGTGATTAGTTGTTGGGAACAGTGGTGATCAGTGATTGGTCAATAATTGGGAACAGTGGTGATCATTGGTCGTTGGGAAAAACTGTGATAAGTGATTGGTCTTTGGGAACAATGGGGATTGGTGATTGGTCGTTGGGAACAGTGGTGATCAGTGATTGATCATTGGGAACCAGGGCAGTGGTGGCTCTGTGGTTAAGGCTCTGGGTTACTGATCAAAGTGGTTTAAGCCCCAGCACTGCCAAGCTGTCACCTGGAGAAAGCATTGTATCATGGCTGACCCTATGTACTGACCTCGACTTAAAAACAAGCAAGCCCAACCTCCCCCACAAAAAAATTGAAAAAGCAAACCAAATAGTGATTAGTGATTGGTCAGTGAAAACAATGGTGATCAGTATTTGGTTGCTCAAGTGCAACTCAGTCAGGCTTTACACACTGGTGGTATTTCAACTGAATCTGCTCTCAGCGAATATAACCAGCAGCTGTGGTGTGAGCTGTATCAAGTACAGGACAGTTGCTAACATCTGCTCAAAAAGTCACAAGATTTTTGAATTATTTTAAGATAAAGTCATTAAAGGGGTCATAAAAGTCTCCAGATCTAGTAACAATGTCATTAAGTAACAGTCAGTGTTTATGCTCATTGATAGCTGGAGTGGTTGGAGGGGGAGATGGAACATGATGTGACATGAAGTCATATTTTTGCCCAGTCCACATGTATGGTGATGTTAAAAATCAGATGATGTCTGAAGTCAGAAAACAGTCATTGCTTTTTGATGGTAGTTTGCAGTTAAGCAGAAATTTTGTCTTATACACCACAAACTAACAAGATGAATATTGATTCCAGATTCCATTCTTGAAGCTTGTTGTAAATTAGTACATTATTAATACTTATAAGTATTAGATCAAATATTAAGACATATGTTAAAACAAATAAAAACTTTTGACAAGTGACAATTTAACACTTCCTTCCTCTTGTCCCCTGCAGGAGAGTGATGAGGAGGACCGCAGGCAGCTTCAGATCTCCTCAGTCTCTGGGCTAAATGTCAGTGACCAGTGTAACAACACCTCAAGGGTTTACTTCAAATCTATCAAATTACAATGATAAACTGTACCAAACTTAAAGCTACAGGGTCTATATGGTTATGATGCTTATGATGAGCCTAATTAGATGAGAGTATTGTATGTATTGGGATTGCAATCAAAATGTGTATGGATGACAAAGAAGTAGTACTTTAAACTATTTTAAGATGTCACTATGTACGGATGTAACCGAATGCTAACATGTTATTTGCAATGAACAGAAAGTGTGTTCTAAACAGACACAAATACAGATATGATACAAAAGAACACCTTCCATCTTTTAAAGCTTGCCAGAAAATATCTCATGGCGTCTGGTTGAGACTAAACAAAAGGTGTGCCTCAGGATTGGGATTCCTGCACGATGCAACAAAAATGTCCCAATAGCCGGAGGATTTTACTTTAATGGGAGCTTGAGGTGGTATGTGATGCATTTATAGCATCTTTAGTGACTGTCTGGTCAGTTTCAAATGAGGCTACCATATTTTTTATATTTTGTGAATTAGAACCAACTACACTTGGTAGAAAAAATCAAGGGAGGGTACAAACTAATATAATAACTGCATGAACAGGATTAAAAAAAATCCTTCACACATCTAGTTGAGACCAGTTATGAACTCAAGTGATGTAGCTGAGGTTGAGGAACTGTCAGAGCCAGAATTCACACACCATGCTGATAGCACTGGTATTTCTACATTTTTTCCCCCCTCAGAGCTTTTTAGTGTTCTAGAGGATAGTGGTAGGATTAAATCTCTCGGATACAGATAGTGGCATTGCATCACATCTCAATTTTCATAATATCCTCATTGTGCTATGGTTTTTACATGGATATTATAATTATTACACATTTCTAGGAAAAATATGCTGAGATTTATCCTTTCAAAAATGAAATGTGATCTACACTGTTCTCACACAGTACATTGTGGGTTATATCCAATATGAGACAAAGAAGACTGACCTTTAGGAAGAATTTCTGAGCTGACATCCAATATTCCACTTGCTCATGAAGCCAAACACACAAATCCTTAAAATTTTCAACAGGGCTGAGATTTAGGGACTGCAGGCCACTCAAACAATCAAAAACCCACTGACATGTTCCTGGAAGCGTCAAATAATGAAATATAATTCCCACTGATGATTGAGAGGGGAAGAAAAAGCACTATAAAGAAAGCAAAATATATAGTCACAAAGTATTTAAAGTAAGATTTACCAAACAAAAGTACACAGTTCCAAATGTTGAATGCAATACTGCTTTAATCATTATGACTTGAGAAATTTCTTGAGGAATTATAATACTGTGCTTTTATTTGTATTTGGTTAACACTGAAGGGTACTTAAAGGTACCAATTTAAGAGTTTTTTTTTTTTTTTTTTTTTTACACTAGTACACATAGGCATAGTACACAGAAAAAAATAAGTGCTTGCTGTAAATGTGCAATACAAAATAATACTGTATAGAACAAAATCAAATAGAATAAAAATGATTACAACATTTTTCATGATGAGCAAACCATTGCTCAGTAATGGCCTTTGAATTCCTTATGTCCTTTTTTTTTTATTATCTAAATCACAGTCAGATAAACATATGTACCGTGCTCAAATGTTAAAGAAACAGTGCTACACCAGCAACGGCAACACCTTGTACTGCACTCGACCAAGTAAGCAGCAACATCATATAACCATATACGCAATACAGAAGTGCAAAAAGAACCATCAAACATGTCTTTGGTCTGGAAGTTTTTAGAAAGTGGGATGTGTGTGTGTATTCCCTCTAATACTGAATATTACTGGAATCCAAACACCTGAGTGGTAGCTCAGAGGTTAAGAGGCGTCACTAGAGACCAAAAAGTTCAGAGTCCAAATCCTAGGACTTTGTGCTGGCTCATAGACTACATTTAGGTTAAGGAGAATATTGTGTTTTCATTAAGGCATCACTGAAGGCTGTTTGGCACAGGAAACACAACAGTATGATAATAAAATGCAATCTTTATGAACTCAGGAACAGAACGGGTAAAGCATCCCGAGCATTAAGACTGGACCTGTAGCGGAATGTCCCAGTGGAAAATGTTACACAATATTTGGCCCAAGTGCTGCTGGCGGGTCACACTGGATGGGAAGATTTATTTCAGGGGGAAAGGAGACATGCATAAATAGGCACTGCACAGGCTTTCCTTCTGCTTTAAATCAATAGTCGTGTATCGAAATCCAGATTTAGCCCTAACAATTTGTAGACAGTAAGAATAAATCAGTAATGAAGTGTAAATTCTGACCATAAGTAGAGAAGAGGAGATTGTTTAGAATTTTTCATGTTGTAATAGTGCCTAACTGAAAGATCATTTATTTGCGGAGATGAGCATTATGCCTAACAGAAATCTTGCAAATCCCTTTTTTCTTTAGGAGGCAGCTGCATAGGCCGACAGATTTTGCCTGTCAATTCCCACCCACTAGTTAACTCTTCCCTATCACACAACACCTACCAACCGGGAACTGCTGCTCATGCTGTTCTACAGGCCTGTGTAGAAGGAAAGCTGTTAGTATGGAAACAATAATGTATTTGAGCAAGGGCACCGATATTAACGTATCATTCATGTGACAGCTGACTCTACTCGCCAAGTTGTGCTGTTATACAAAAATAACACACACCTGGTCGGGAATCGAGCCCGGGCCGCGGTGGTGAGGGCGCTGTGGCCTAGCCACTGGTCTTCCAGGGACCCCCAAATTTGACTAAAACAAGTAACCTTAGTAATTAGCTTTCCTTATTCTGCTTTCCTGCTTAAACAGAGCTAAGAATTTGCACTGTGAGAGGAGATTGTGCCCTCTAGCAAGCGCTGTGTTAAGCGGCATGTTATAATTTAACATCAAATGGCTAGGAAACTCCCCAGGAAGTGTATAATAAATGGTGTAGAATAAAATGGTGTACTAACTGCAGTCAGTAGTGCAGTGTTAGTCAATCCTGACCATAAAGGCAGAGATGATGGTGATATTTTAATGAGCTGGGTTGTAACACTACGATTTTGAGTAATGCAATTATAATGACACCAGACCATAAGTTATCAAAGGAATCCCTAGGAAACTAGATGAATCAGGTGTGCTGTATTGTGTTTGTGTTGGGAATGAAAACTAAACTCTGTGCTTCTGAGGCTCTGCAGGATTTGACTTGCCCTACACACACACCTCTGTCTGGGTTTTCTATTAAATATAACTTCACACTTTACTAAAGCAGAAGAACCTGCTTATCGTCAGCCTTCATCATTAAACTGCCCACATGAACCCCTGTATCTGCAGTGCATTTTTCCAGCATCAGGTCTTTAATTATGTACATACTCCAGGTTTTAATCCCGTTCACCAGTCAGCCAAGACATGAAGGTGTCTGACGCTTGCTTCTTTAATTTTTCTACTGGAGCTACTGTAAGGCTAATGTACCTAAGAAGCAAGGAAAACTTATAGACTCCAGTTTAGCATTGTGCAAATAAACATTCACAAATAAAATGTGAATTGTATTATCGTCCAAATCATTCAAAAGTACCACTGAGCCTTCCATTTTTGTGCCACACCTTATAGGTGAGTC